ACTACTACTACTACTACTACTACTACGACTACGACTACGACTACGACTACGACTACTACTACTACTACTACTACTACTACTACTACTACTACTACTACTACTACTATCTACTACTACTACTACTACTACTACTACTACTACTACTACTACTACTACTACTACTACTACTACTACTACTACTACTACTACTACTACTACTACTACTACTACTACTGCTACTACTATACTACTACGACTACTACTACTACTACTACTACTACTACTACTACTACTACTACTACTACTACGACTACTACTATTTACTACTACTACTACTACTACTACTACTACTACTACTACTACTACTACTACTACTACTACTACTAGTACTATTACTACTACTACGACTACTACTACTACTACTACTACTACTTCTACTACTACTACTACCTCCCTGTCTCCCGACCGCCCACACTACCTACGATCCATAGCATGGTTCTTCTTCCCTCCTCCTCCACCTCGTCATCTATCTCCTTCTTCCCCACCTCCTCTTCCTCATCATCCTCCGGATCCCTGCTCCTTCACGTTCAAGCCAACCTTCCTCTACCCCTCGCTGTGGCTCCCCCAATGAATGATTCTCTATCCATCCCTTCAAACGTGTTAGCATCTACCCATCCCCCTGCAGTCGTAAAGGTACCTTTCCTCCCTTCGTATCTCTTTACTCTTCGCCGCCTCATCCTCCTCCTACTCCAAGTCCACGCCGCTCTCCGGCCTCCCGTTTCCTGTCGTAACTCATAGTCCCGCCTCCTCCTCCTCTTCCTCCTCCATCTCCCCTCGTCCTGTCTCATGCCTCCTCCTTATTTCTCCCTCCATCACTCCCTCCTCCTTCCACCTATCCGAACGGTCCATCCATCCCTGCCTTGCCCCCTCCCTCCCTCCTCCTGCTGCGCCGCCTCAACTTCCACATCCTCATGCGTCGTCCTCCTCTGGGGCCTCCAACTGATCTCCTCGTCCTCCCCCCCTCCGCCGCCTCCAACTCGTCCTCCTGTCATGCCATTCTCCTCTCCTACCCGTCTCCCTCCTTCCTGTATTGTTTTCGCAATGCTGACATAACAATACAGTCCCCTCGTTGGCGCCCTGGCAGTGACAAATGGTGGGCCCTGGTACTCTACGAAACTGAAGGCTTCGAAGGCTCTGTGTGAAATTACTGGCAAGAGATCTCGAGAGAATACAACATGTGTGTCTCGCCTGAGTCGCCTGAGTGCTGCGCAAACTGTCCGTGACCCGCTCAGACACGTCGCATCTGTTTCGCTCGCGAAGCCCACCAGAAGCGGAGCCGCGCGGAGAGAGCCAGAAATTGCCATCGCCCAGACACCGCCGCGTAGGTAGTCCTGAAGATTGCCCGTTCGAGGCGGCTCCGCACGGATAAGTTGGGCACGCCGTGCCACATTTCACGCAGAACGAAAGAGGTCGACCCCCTCAGCGCGCTCTTGCTCAAAGCTGTGTTGGCGGACGTGCTCTGGGATGCAGAGGACGCGTGGGTAAAACTAATAGGGCCTTCAACTAAGGGCGTCGCCTGAGTGGAGTTTGACCAACCTGCGCTTTGCAGAACATGTGATGCTTATCGATATGACTTCCCGCCCTGTCCAGCTCATGCTGTCAGAGGTGCGAGCAGCGGCCTTGCGGCGCGGCCCGGAGACTCACCCTGGAGAGACAGACATCCTCAGCAGCACGACGCGTGAAACCGGCCGCCCGAAGGCTACGTCTGCCCAGGCCCAGGACATGGTGTTCACTGCTGTACCGCATGGAAGTGCTGCCAAAATGTTTGGGGAAGCGCGCATGCTGCGACCATCCTTACAATGCAGAGATCGACCACGGGATTGAGATGGCACGGGAATCTTCATGAACCAACGGGCAAAACTAACAAACAAGAAATACTCCTTGACCTCCAAGCTCCGCCTCTTCGACAGCACGGCGCCTGCAACGGAAGCGCTGCATGGGTGCTTGCAGAGAAAATGGAATCCAAGTTGCCACGAACGCAGCGCAAAATGATCCGAATGGTGATCGGCAGTGGGAGGCGCTCGCAACGGCATATGCCGCAGTAGGGGCCTGCGGCCGCATCTGTTGGCATACTTCGCTTTTCTTCGTCGGCTTCTACGCATCATTCTGCTGCGCCTCGGGGATGTGTGCCAGACGAGCCAGTGGAGGCTCTGGAAACATTTGGGCTGACTGGATCAAGCGCGCGACACGAAAAGCAGACGATAAGACACATAAGCTTCGTCTACGCGACTGGGTCGATTCACGCGCATTTGCTGCCCAGGCGTGGCTCCGCCGCATGCGCGGGGCAAGAAGGATCGTGACTACTCAGGACGATTCAGAGCAGGTCATCGGGAGCGGCCAAGAGGGGGGTGTCCAAGAGGGGGGGGTGCAAATCACGACCAGCGGCACGTGCGCGGCCCAGCGGGGGGGCCAGGGACGCAATGAAACAAGAATAGGCGCCATGAAATCTGGGGAAACATCGTGGCCCCCGCCATGATATCCCCCCCCCTAGTCGTCCCCCCCCCTCTTTGTCGCCCCCGAGGCCAGCCACATCTCCATGAGAACGATGGCTCCTGAGACACGGGGCGACCAGAGGCGACGGGCCGGGGCCGCCCTCCTCGAACAGCGACCTGCACACGGAGGGCCCCGCGCCGCGGGAGCCCCCAGGCAGCCCCAGCAGCCCCCACCAGCAGGGCATCGCCGGGCCTCCGTGCGGGAGCCGGTGCGCCTGGTCGCGGACGCCCTGTCGGGCCCCAGAGCCGCTACGCAAACCGACTCGCACGCCGGCGTCTCTCCTGCTCTCCCACTCCGGCTCCCTCCGGCCTCGCTCCGCACTCCTCACTTCTCTCTCTCCTCCTCCTCCTCCTCCTCCTCCTCCTCCTCCTCCTCCTCCTCCTCCTCCTCCTCCTCCTCCTCCTCCGCCTCCGCCTCCGCCTCCTCCTCCTCCTCCTCTCCGCCTCCTCCTCCTCCGCCTCCTCCTCCTCCGCCTCTCCTCCTCCTCCGCCTCCGCCTCCGCTCCTCCTCCTCCTCTCCTCCTCCTCCCTCCTCCTCCTCCTCCTCCTCCTCCTCCTCCTCCCTCCCCCACCCTTCACTCTCGAAGGCCGCCCCCGTAGTGTCCTAGCCGATCCCGGCTGCTCAGCTCCCCAAGGAAGGTGCACAGCGGCAGGCCGAAGTGAGCGTATGTGGATGATCAGATGTAACCCAAAGCTTTGGTCAAGGGTCGGGTCGGCCGAACAATATCCTTCACCCATAGCCTGTGATGGTCACCCACCCTTCACTGGGGAAACCAAAAGGCACCGATACCGCCACTCCCCGAACCTCTCCCGGGGTGCGTCCTGACCAAGATTTCGAGGCGAATCCAGCGGTGGCGACGAGGGCCTCCCAGGAGGCCCCAAAAGGGAAAAAACAGGGAAGGGTAGCGGTATGGGTACCTTTTCCTCCTCTCATTCACTCCTCTCTCTTCCACACCCTCCTCCATTGGGCCCCAGGGGACCTCGACCAGCAGCAGCGGCGCCCAGAGGGGCCGGAACCTTCGGAGGCGGGCCGCCGAAGAAAGGCCGAGAGAGGAGGGGCGAGGGGAGAGGGAAAGGAAGGAACCGTCGCGTCCTCCTCCTCCTCCTCCTCCTCATCCTCCTGCTTTTCCTCCTCCTCCTCCTCCTCCTCCTCCTCCTCCTACTCCTGCTTCTGCTGCGTCTCGATCCATCTTCTTGTCGAACCAGCGTCTTGATACGAGACGAAACTGCAGATGTGGTGGCTCAATCACCAAGGCCCGAGTCACGGCCCGGCGGCAGACGCCGCTCTTAGACCCACATAACATTCATAGTGGTGTCGCATTCAACATGCCAGGCGGGGACCTGTCTCATCGTATGCAGTGTCGCGGGGATTGAAAAGACTGGTATTGTAAGATGTGCGGGTGCTACGGACACCAGCTTCTGGATCGGCTGCGTCGTCACAGTCACCACCCCACCTCCAATAGGCTTGAAGATGTGTCCCGCATCTCTCGGAGGCTCTGGCCAACGGTCCTAAGCAAGACAGAGAAAGCGACTTGACGCTGACAAGGGTTTTGGGGGTCGTGGGAGCGCTGCATTGCATGTCTATTTATCGCCAGCGTTGCACTAATATTGACTCTGTCTTATTCACAGTTCCAGTTCCGTTTCCAGCTCCAGCTCCAGCTCCTCCTCATCCTCCTCCTCCTCCTCCTCCTCCTCCTCCTCCTCCTTCCTTCCTTCCTCCCTTCCTGCCTCCCTCCCTCCCCCCCCCTTATTCTGCCTCCTCGCGCCTCCCTCCTCCCCCTCCCCATCCCTCCTCCTCCCTCTCTCTCATCCTCCCTCCTCGCCCTCCACCTCCTGAGCTCCTCCAGGAAGAGGGGAGAGAGGGAGAGGGAGGAGAAGAGAACGGAGAGAGGAGAAGGGAAGAAGGGCGGTAGTGGGCGAAGGTGGGAGAGACGAGGGGGGGGGGGGAAGACAAGAAAGACGAGAGGGAAGGGAGGGGGGATGAAGGCGGGGAGGGAGGGGGAGGAAGGAGAGGATGAAGGCGGGGGATGAAGGAACTAAACAAAAGGGCGAAGGCGGGGAGGGAGGGGGGAGGACGCGTAGGGAAAGGAGAGGGAGGGAGGAGGGAGAGGGCAGGAACCTGCGCTTCAGGTCGCCGAAGACGGCGAAGCGGGTGAGGTCCCACAGTGGGAGCTGCAGTATGTACACGGAGAAGCTCCAACTGCCCAGCGTCTGGAGCGCGGGGACGCCGACTGGCGAAGGGCACAGCGGGCGGACGGCACGACCGTTTCTGAACGAGTGCCAAAAGGACCGCACCAGACCCGCCAGCCGACCTGGTGAATTCGGATGCAGTCGGACCTGGGCCAGAATCACATCCTCCAAGGACATGATCCCCTCCGCCGGTCAACATGAAGAGCACTCGAGGGCGTCCTCCCCCAGGATGCGCAAGAACACCCCGAACGCACGAAGAACATTAGGGTACCCTCCCCGAACCGACCTCGACCTTATACCTCGGTCCGACCGTACTGCCAAACCGAGCGTAACAGACCCACCAGCCGACACGGCGAGTTCGGATATCCTCTGGGAGCGGGGAGACCGCCGAGGTCCCCCAGAAGGTCTGGGCTCACGGGGGTCTCGGGTCAAGTCGGGCTTGTCGGCGAGTGTTGCTGACGTCTGGAAGCCCTCTGGGACGCCCTCTGAGACGGCTGGGGGCCAGAGGTATGATCGCAACAGCCGATTCATGGTGGCCCTGCTCCTTCACGGGGCAGCCTCTGTGCGAACAGATGTTGCATATTCGGGCGAACCTATGTTGCACATTCGGGAGAACCCGTCTATACCGTCGCGCCGGTGCCCGCGTCGAATCCACGTCGAACGTCCATTCCGCGTCCAATGACGTCAAGTCCGCGCCGAATCCATATCGAATCCACGTCGGGCCCGCGTTGGATGACCCGCGCGAGAGGTGCGGCGGGGGGGGGAAGCCCAGGGCACCCCGAGCGCAACAGCTCCTTGAAATAGCCGCGGGACGTCACCGCGCAGCGCGAGGAGCGAAGCCGGCCGGGGATACCCTGACCCTGCTGCGCGCCCCCGCGGTACAGTGGAGGCCAGTCCACAAGAAGCCTCCCACGCAGGAAACCCCGAGCCCGACACCCCAGAGCCTCCGCTGCTTCTTTGGTGTGGGGGCGTCGCGCTCTCCCTCGCAGCGCCCTCGAGTCCCAAGAAGCCCAGGGCACCCTGGAGGCAAACAGGGTGCTTCTTTCGGGGATGGGCGGAACCCCCTTTCGTAAAGCGCGGTGTAGCGAAGACGACCTCGGGCCCAAACCTGGCGGGCACAAGCATGGAAAGTGGGGGCCGCGGCGCGCTCTCGAGAACTGGAAACGGACAGTCCACTGATCGACGTGTCAGGGTGGGAGGTCCTGTCCACCCTCGATTCTTGGCATGGGGCCAGGACAGAGCGCACACACAGAGGGCGAGGCTGGGCAGAGTAGACTTCGGTCGGGCATGTCCCCTTACAGGCGGAGTTTGGGCGAGGAGCAACAGGTAGTCAAATAATGCCCCCGAGTGGCCGACAAATGCTCAACAGAAATCTTCCCCTGACTATATTATTACTATGCTTGAATATTCCTCCTGTGGGGGGACGCGCCCGACTTTAAGCGTAGACCCTGGGAGCTCCGCTGCTGCTGGAAGCGGAGGAGGGCAGAGGAGCAGAGGCAGGAGAGGGGCACGGGGGGGGCGGGTGCTGGACAAGCACAAATCGGCGGCGAGCAATGGGGGAAAGTGAGAAGGAGAAGGCCTTCTCTAGACAAGCGCGTTCCACTACTGGCAAAGTAACTACTCGCAAATAGCCTGGAGCCGTCGCGGGGGATTTGCGATACATTATGTCGAGGCAGCAAACTATGTGTCCGTGATTCTCAGGAGGCGGCGGGCCTTCTCAGAAACCCTCGCGCCTTCTGAGAAGTTTTGTCTGTCCTCGGGGAAGGCTTAGAAAACTTCTCAGAAGGCCGGGGGTCTTCAGACCCTTCTGAGAAAACCTTCCCCTTCTGACTTCCCCCCTCGCTCGCCGCCGGTAAAAAAAACACGAACTGAAGGGGCCCAGGGACACACAAACACATAGACACGAATCCCATGATCCCCAATACTTTCTCATACTCTCTGGGTTGTCTTCCCCCCAATTCCCACACTTTCCCATCTTTTCCCTGGAATCGACGATTACTTGTGTCTGTATGTGTGTGTGTGTGTTCCCCCTCCTGCGGAACAGTGTGCAGGGAACGAGATTGGCTCTTCTGCCCCAGCCAGCAGCACTCGGCCTGCGAGAAGTGCCACAGCAAAAAATAAAACGCGACGGGGGACCAAGGGAACCCCGAGCCCCTTCCAGCCGCCCTCACTCCCAAGCTGTGACTGTTTGACCACGGGATGCAAAAAGTCGGGAGCGGCCAAGAGGGGGGTGTCCAAGAGGGGGGGGTGCAAATCATGACCGGCGGCATGTGCGCGGCCCAGCGCGGAGGGCCAGGGACGTAATAAAATAAGAAGAGGCGCCATTAAATCTGAGGAAATATCATGGCCCACGCCATGATATCCCCCCCCCCTAATCATCCCCCCCCTCTTTGCCGCCCCCGAAAAAGCGAACACCAGCCGAGTCTGGGGACGGACCGGAGGCCGCCCCAACGGGGCCAAAGCAGACGGGGTCGGAGGATCGCGCCGCATCGGCGAGGCGGCGCAATCACCCGGGGCCCCACCTGCGTCGACCGCGACTGGGCGGCCTGGACCAGACGGCCCCGAATCTGCGCAGGGACCGACCGTCCGGGCATGCCTATAGGCCTGCCACCGAAAATTCTGAGAACCCGGACAGAAAACTAAGAACAACAGCAATGTCATGAGAGCATGTACCCGATGTGCTAAAGCAAGACAGGCTCAGCCAGGAATGTTCCGAGAACAGCTCCCGCAGACCACAGAAAAGGCTCTGAGAACACTCTTGACGGCCACGACGCCCTCTCGCGCACCGAAAACGGCCAATTCCTTAATCGACGTGTCAGGGTAGCAGCTCTATCCACCTCCGACCCGCCCCCCCCCCAGCGAGGGCGACCCTGACACGGAACACTCCTGGGCCTGGGATCGGTGCCCGCCTCGGCTCGGCCAGGGAGGCACACACACACACACCAGGCCTTAGCCCAGGGCCTGCCCAGCCAGGATCGGTGAGGTGATCCCAGGAGCGACGGAACGCGACGGGTCTCACTTGGCGGCGCGCACAAGGGGGTGGAGGGAGGGGGGAGGGCTTCTTAGAAGCAGGCTGCTTCTTAGAAGGCGCCGGCCTCACATCTACAGATAAGGCCCGCGCCTTCCAAGAAGCAGGGGTGCCTCTGCGGATCCCTCCCCCCTCCCCCCATCCCCTCGATCTGCGCGTGGCCGACTCCCGCGAGACGACACGGCGACATTACGCGGTGGCTCACGCGGTAGGAGGTCTACTCCAGATTTCGTAATAAAGGGAGGGGGGTCTCATTTCGGGGCGGTCTCTTCCAGGCTATCTTGGAGGGCCTGGGGTGGTCTGGGGACGATGTTTTGGAGGGTTCTCCCACGGGGGGGGGGTCCGAAATGGCTTGCCTTGGAGGGTCCAAACCCCCTCCCTTTTATTACGACATCTGGAGTACCCACCTCCGAATCCTGTGCTGCCGCCGTTCGCCCGTCGGGGAGGGTCAGGAAGCGGCGCGCGGCCCCCGTCTTCGCGGCCGTGAGGCTCTGCACCCACCACGGCAGCAGCGGGGTGCACAGCAGCTCCGCGGCGCCCCGCAGCAGGAGAGCCCGCTCCCCCGCCTCTCTCGGCGGTGGACAGGCCTCCCTTTTGGTAAACCTCCCCTTAATGAAAACGGCCTGGGGCCGAAACCGACGGACCTGGACCCGCAAAAATGACGGCCGCGACGCCCCCTTGCGAACCGAAACCGGCCAAATCCTTAATCGACGTGTCAGGGTAGGAGGTCTATCCACCTCCGAGGGGAGAGACCGGCACATGGGGGTGCTGCGTCGACCTGGAATCGGCGATGCATCGCCGATGGGTCGGTGGTGGGCCCCCGATTCTGGACGCCCGAAATGGGCACGGGAAGAATGGGCACACTGTCCAACAACAGATGCTGTCCCAAACCAACAGCGGCCGCTGTTGGGTAGGCGGCCTCCTGTCTCGAATGGAGACAGACCGCGGCGGCGCGGACAGCGAGTCCTGTTCCAAATGCACAGGAACTGCTGCTGGGCACTGTACCCATTCTTTCCGTACCCATTTCGTTCGTGTAGACCGATGGCGAGTCCGTGCCCTCCTGTGCAGGTTGGCGCTATCGGGCCCCTATCGGCGATCAATGGGCGATCAGGGGTCGATGCCATCCCCCTCTGTGTTGAGCAGGGACCGACTTAGAACCCAACAATGTTCTAAGAACAACAACAAAGTGCTTAGAAAACAATACCGATAGGATAAAGCAAGACAGTCCCCGCCAGAAATGTCCTAACATTCCGTGGGAGCCACAAAAGGTTCTTAGAACATTGCTTGGTAGGGCCATAGGCACGCCGGGACGCTTCGCCACTGCTTGAATCAGGGGTCGATGCATCCCCCCCCCTATGCCTATTCCCCCCCCTGGCGTTGCACCCGAGCCTCCCAGCCGAGCAGCACGGCCGCGCCCCACGCGAGCAGCACGAAGGCGGACAGGCGGTCGGCGACGCGACCGCCGCTCCGGCCCACGCTGGGGCCGGCGGGGTCCAGCAGCTCCCTGGACGCCAGCTCCGGGTCGTCGTCGGCGGCGGCGGCGCCGGCCGGCGCGGTCGCCCGCATGCCCGCCATCACTCCGAGGACGAAGAGCGGCAGGCGGAACAGGGGCTGCGAGCGGGCGCCCATGTATCAGGGGGGCGTGAGACCTGGGTACAGGGGACTCGGAAATCCCCGACGAGGTCGTCAAAAAAATGACGAGGCCGAGCCTGCATTTTGACGAGGCCTCCCGCGGCAGACATCCCACGAAACTCCTCCTCGCCAAAATCCGAGGCGCGGTCGTCAAAAAACGATGGCGAACCCGAGTCCTGGCAAACCTGGGTCTTTGAAGGGGCCCTGGGACACACAAATAAATACACAAATAAAAGTATGCCCAATATTTTCCCATATTTTCTGGGTTTCTGTCTTCCCGCCATATTTTCCCATATTTTCCCATATTTTCAGTGGAATCGACGATTAATTGTGTCTGTGTGTTTTTTCCCCTCCTGAGTCTTACGCTCCCCCGAATGTAGGCGGGAAAGCCGCCCCACCCGAGCGCGAGCAGCAGCCGGAAGAGCAGCAGGGGCAGGGCGACGCCGAGGGCCGACACCGCCGCCATGGAGCCGAGCGAGAGCGCGGCGCCCCCCCCGCGCCGCAGGCACCGCGCGAGGGGGCCGAAGGCGACGTAGAAGAAGAGCATGGCTCGGGTCGGGCGAAAGGGGGGGATTCCGGGATAGCCAAGGGGGGGTTTGAGAATCAGCTCACGCAGCTG